TCTTTTCACGTCAGATTCATTTCGACAGCCCCAACCCCATAAAAGATTGCCATCATCTTCTCTTCTTCAAAAGAAAAGTCTTAAAGTGCAATTTTGTAGGATTTTGAATATTATGAGGGCATGTGCATTTGCGCGTAAAGAAGAAGAATACTAGAGCAAGCATGCATGAAGAAGGCATCATGGTTTAGGGACCCATAAGAAGACCATGCTTAATGTTTTTTTTCTACTTTTTTGCCTTCTCATTTATGAATTATTGAGCTACACAGAAATGAATGAGGCACATTCTAGGTAAAATAACATCTGAGAAAAGGGAGAAATGGTTTTTAAAGCTTAGACGCTGATAAGGGATGGATCTCACACTAAGAATTTTTGATCTCACACTAAGAATTTTTAACTTTTATACCAATATGTAATTTTTAATATAATTTAAAACTTAAACCTTTAGATATTAAACTAAATATTAAATTAAATTTTTTATTCATATAAATTATACATGTTCTTGTTAAAGATTCAAGAACCAACCTGACCAAGAATCCATACAAATGGGAAACAGAAGATTGAAGAGGGTTGATCCGTTGATGATTAAGGGACCATTTAAGTGATTTTACCTAAATATATAAACATTAATGGGCTGAATTGGGCCCAATTATATATTCATCCATTTTAGCGAGTTTGGGCCATTTTTCCCAGACTCCGAATATCATTTTTTTTCTTTATAAAAGAAAACATAGCAATAATTTTCTCAACATTTTTGGCTTTCTGTCTAAAAATGTAACCTGTTTTTCTGTTTTATTATCATTTTTTAACTTTTATTTTTCTATTTTTAAAGGGAAAGGAAATAGGCCAATTGATGCCTAGTTCTTAAGCCCCACCTAGCGCTCCCTGAAACATTGTGTGAAATGGAAAGAATCCAAAAAAAGTTAGTTAAAACAAAGGGAAAAACACAAATTTATTGACTTTGTCTGCCCAATAGGCCTAACTGGTGCACGTACTGACGTGCAATAAAAATTGGGCAAACAAGCTTAATTAATTTCGGAACGACAATGCAATTGTGTTAAATAAAATTGTTTCTAATTTTTAAAGATAATAATTTCATACAACAACTTGTTTTGTGGCAGAATTTGACATGTCACTTTACATTCGGTGCAAATTAAATGTCATGTTGGGTAGAGTAAGTGAAAAATTATAAATTTATAACAACTCAACTTATTATTGATATTATCGATTTTAATAAGACTTAAAGAGTATAGACTTATATACTCATTTCTCTCGTAATTTATTAATGTAAGATTTATCTAGAATTTCACAAAAATATTATCTAAGCTTATATAAAGATAACACAAGATTGGGAATAAAGATTGACGAGGATGCCTTTGTCTGCAAGGAACAATGGAACAGCGACTGTGTACAGCCCTGGCCTTTTCAGAAATATAGTAAGCATGAACGTGATGTAGTGCTTTTTCTTTTTATTCCAAAAATTATAGTGAAAATGGCCCACTTAAACACTATGGATCATTTGCATTTAACATTGGTACTTCTCAAAGGAGCGGTGGTTTAATTAGTTGGCGAGAATTTTTTTTTCCTCTTATTGATTATAGATTGATTCTTTGACGAGATAACTTACGTCTATTTTTGACAAATTTGACACATTTAAGTGCACATCTAGATGTTAAGTGAGAAAATATCATATCGAGACTTATAAGTTAAATATAAAGAAAATTACTTCACTTATTGTCAATTAATTTTAGATTGGATGCAAATCTTGTATTCAGTCTACATGCACGATTTTCGCATAATATCAGAACCCAAATTCTATCCTGAGAAACCCGTTGTTAGCCCATCTAACAGACCCGAAGCTGAAGGTACCAGATCTACATTTAAGGGATGTTAATCCATGTGATAGGACCCGACATTCATATCGACGCTTGTGGATTAAATACAAGGAAAGCCACTTCACTTATTGTCAGTTGGTTTTAAATTGGATACAAACCTTATATTTAGCCCACATGCACAATTTTCACACCAAATCATGTTTAAGCTTATTTAACTGAAGAGCGGCATAAGGGAAGCATGTTGGAGGAATTCAATTCAGGTTTGCATTTAAGTGACAAACTGAAAGAGTTTCCATTTGTGTTGTAAGTAGCTTTAAAGTATATTACTTCGAGCTAGGTGGAGGTTTTCCCTCAAAACTAAGCTATGTACCATCATAGTTGTTTGACCTATACTTGTGTTAACCTTTCTCAAGCTAGAATGATTTGTTAGGTACGAATATGGGAAACGCTAGGTACATGTGGATAGCTTAGGAGCGCTTAGCATCATAAGTGTGAAGAAGTGAATTTCTTAATCCTAACATGGTGGGTTGGATTTTGCAGCACAACGGTGAGTTCCGAAAGGGAGGTGTGGTAAAGTCTGTTGGTGATCTGCTAGGAGCAAGTTCTACAACGCGATGGTGGGTTCCTTGTCCATCGCTTTTTACAAAACTTGCTCTTAAGCACTTTTAAGTACTTAAAATTGGATTTCTCTCTAAAAATGTACTCATAAGTCATCCAAAAAAAAAAAAAAATCCTCCATCAAACTATTCCTTACGATTTATAATTTTTCATCTTTTCTTTGATTCTCCCTTCACATGAGAAATTCTTTTATACAATAAGAATACCATGTCAACAATATCCTTATCTATTAATATGGTAACATTTCCATATATATGACCCTCACTTATAATTAAAAATATTAATTTATCATAATTCACTAATTATTAAATCAATATGGACGTGTTGTTACATTAGTAGAGAAGGATACCAATATAATATCCTTGTTGTAGGGACGAATTTCATCTCTTCTAATTAATATCTCTTTCTTCTTTGGCAATTTGGGTGTAATTTTAAGAAGGATCAGGTTTGAGGGCGTTTCCCTCTTTCTATATTCAATCACCTTGGTTCATAGCATTTGATGTAATTATTTCAAACGTTGTCCCTTTTTTCACATTATTTTCAAAAAAAAAAAAAGAAAAGCCAAACAAAGTGTGGACTAAAAGAATCATGTACGTTCTCCATGCAGCTCCCAGATTGGCTCACATAATTAATTCACTAATTAGGAACTTACGGGGTAATTTCATGCATGTCTCCCTATGAATAATCATTCTTTTGTCCCTTTGCTAGACTCCATAACGTTACTTTCCTAATTTTTGTTATGAATAGAAGCCCAACATGCATTTTTTCAAACGAATCTTTCTCAAGATTAGGTAAGGAGGTTTGAATTTGAAATTGAATCTCTTCAAATATCCTCCTTTGTGATTATATATCATTCATATGATTTAGATTCTCTTATTATTAGTTGTTGCGCAATTAGTGGCGAAACTACATGAAAAGGGAGTCAGGCAAGGACTCTATTGTTGTAAGACTCAACAAAATTAAAAAGTGGTGATGTAAAAATAATTTTTTTATTATTTTTATATATATATTTTTTATATTATTAAATAAATAGATATATTCAATATTATATATTTTAAATAAAAAAAATTAATTATTTAGAGGACATGTAAAGTTATATAAAAAAGTAATAAAAATTTTATCTTTAAATCATTTTTCAAAATTAAAAATAAAGAAGCATAGATTAAAGTTGTAGGAGAAGAAAATATTAAATGCCTTACTCTAAATCTCATCATAGAAATAAAAGATAAGTTTAAAGTTATAATTGAAAGAAAAATAAGTCCTTTTAACTTTCATCTTTCTCCAATGGATTGTTTTTCTTTAGTTTTACTCTTATATACATTTAAATTATATTAAACTATATAACCAAACTATATTACTAAAATGAACTGAGATTTTGAAT